TGAAATCGACCTCTTCAAGTGAGTAAGCCTTGTTGCTGCGAGGCTTCTTCTTGTCAGATAGAGAGGCCGGCTGGGAATGACAACGGTGGGGAAGCTGATGGCGATCATGATGGTGGCGGTCATGACGGTGACAATGACTTGAAGATTGGGAGTGATATCTGTCATTGCGAAGGGAGCAGATTGGGGGCAAAGGATACGGGTTCGTGAAACTGTGGTGGGCGTTGATCGGATTGAAGGACATGGGACGGCTATGAATAGGAGCCGGAGGAAGTTGCGTTCTTCCACTTCGTGTAACATTGAGACGAGCATGATTTTGAGCTTCGGTTCTTTCGAGCCGAGCTTGATATTGGAATGAAGATTCCGAAGAATGCCCGCCGAATACCTGTTGTACGTAGGTCGAAGGCTGGTGGTGTTGAATGTCAAGATCCATTTTCGAATCAGGCATGTCGCTATCAGAGTGTTCTTCTGAATTTACTTCGGCATCCAAAGGGTTCAAAAGCATAAGGATATCCATTTTCTGAGTTACAACTTCTTCAGGGTTATTAACAACAGATGTAATTCCCATAACAGTTGAGGGTTTTTCAGATGACGGCTCCACTTTCAATGGCATTTTAGCTGTGATAAGTGTTCAAGGAAAAGTCAAATGATCTCAAGATATTCTTCTGTGTCGATAAAAAGAAGAAGGAAGACAAGTCCAAGAAGATAAAGTTTCTGAAGATAGTGATAAACAGATTCAGGGTCTGGATAAATATCCACAACTTTGAAGGGCCAGAGAACCTTATATACGCCCTATGAGAGAAACCCAACACAGCACCAACTTGATTTAATGTATGGAAAAAGAAGGAATGCCAGATAGCTTTGCTGAGACAGTGCTATGTCGGCATCAAGCGGCGAGGCAAATTTCTCCAACAAGGACATGCATTATAATTTATGTGTACCGACTGGCTACCGCAGTCGTGTGTTTGATTTTTCCTCATTTTGTTCTTGTAGCTTCGAGACAATTATTTCTAAGCAATTTAGAGATTCGGAAGTAAACTTCTTTTGGCAATATTGCAGCGAGGTACCGTGGCTCTGGGTTTTTGAAGAAGTAACACGGGGAACTATTGGCTACCTGAGACTGATTTATGTATGGCGTTGAGTTTAACCTTGCCAATACGTACAGATTTTCAGGCATTTTTTTTTCCATTGGTGGGCTTTATCTGATATCTTGCATCTGATGAGTCGTCGTGCTAGGTCAGGTAGTATTGTCTACGCAAGTATTAGACGGCAACTAGCCATTCTCGAACGATGCTCCTCTTTTATCATGATGTGAAAATGTAACCCGCATCACTTGGAGTGGAGCTTGCATATATACGTTGAAGAAATTAATGAAAGCCACAGCCAATGAAAGCTGCTAAGTGTTGGGGCATCAAGCCAAGGATTATGATAAAAGATTGGTCACATTCTCCCCATGTCACTCTACTACTTGTTTAGCAAATTGATATCGAAGAGCACAGACATACAGTCGCACCGCACTTACCGCCCCTCTACTTCATTGAAGAAACAATTTGCCGCCACACTGTCCTTCTTGTGAACCCTTTTAACAGAGTGCCGCACCGTCGCTTCTCTGTCGCGCGTTCGAATTGCTATATTCTTTTCTCTTATATTCGAAGGGTATCTTGTGATCTGATCATCACTTGCCATTGCTTTCTTTCCGCCAGGACTTCGATGCTTACAAGAGACGGCAGGGAACACCCTCTAACGCAGATGACCATCATGTGATGATGTTCAGACCCGAGCATCTGGAACCAAATCAGAATGCTGGTTATGCCCCAGTCACCAACATGAATGGAACAGTACCATACGATGCTACGCACTTATACATATTAGGAAGCTCATTTCATCCGTTACGGGTCAATATTCGCATGCCCACAGGTGGCAGAAGGATCCTTACATGCTGGGGGCCGGGTTTACCAGAGAGGGCGGAAGTCAACTGCCAACGGGCGGAGTGAGGTAAAGATATCTATTTAGCATCATTTCATTTTATTCTTAGTCGTCGGACTTACTGGCTCGGTCTCTTTTCATGCAGAATAGTGTGTTCTTGTGATAAAGATCCTAAAAATTCCCCAGACTGTGGGTTTAAGCGCTGAGGGGTTTCGTGTGAGTGTAACGTTGTTGAACTTATCAGGGTAAGCGGAATAAACGAGGGTAGAGAGCAGGGCAGAAAGACCGAAGTTCTTCCAACGAGATGAGAAACACGAGTCTATATTGAAGCGATTGAAGCGATGTGAGTTTAATGAGTTGCCGTCAGTATTTGATTTATGTCAAAAACAGCCGCGGACAGGTTACACAGGTTACACAGACTAAATGATTTGATATACAGAGAGCACTAATAGAACCAGCCTTACTGAAAGTAAGATTTTTGACCCACGAGCGCTAAGCGGAGCATAGCGCATGTAAGGAAAGCCTAAGCCCCTGACAGAGAGCTTTTGTGATCATTTATGCAAGGAAGGATCTAATTTCCTAATTGATTAATTAAAATATTGCTAAATGAAGGCCGACCTTGCCGACCTTTCGGACGAGAGACGCCGACACCGAGTATTTTTTTTCGATGATTCTTTTTAATCAATGCAGCTAAACGCAGTAGTCGTATTTGAATCCAAAATGACTAGCGGTGTGGAGCTCATATGTGATATAACCTCTACATATCAGTAAACAACTTTTCCTCTATCAACAAGGAAAAGCTTGTCGTAAGTTATAAGTTGTAAGTCGTAGCCGGCTTCATTCGTAAATGATAGATATGATAAGAGAAAGAGTCCAGCAGGTCTAAGAGCCGGATATAAGTTTTGCACAAATCGTACGGTGATCCCGATAGAAGTGGGTACGACTGACATAGATAATCTTCTTTTAACTCTATCGGCGTTAGGCAGTTTGTGCACAGGCAATAGCAATATCATTGCAGATGAAGAAGAAGAACACGGGGAGGGCAGTGGGGGGGGGGGGGAAAGGGGGGGAAAGGGGGGGGAAAGGGGGGGAGAAGTAGTATCCTTGTGAGAAGTCTGGACCAGCTCCTGCCCGTATCTTCATCGAAAAGGATACTAAACTGGCGGGGAACTACACCGTTTCGCCTCGCTGCTCGCACCACTTTCTCCACACAATTGCTGCAATGGATAGACCACTTTGTCTCATTCGCTAATTTCAAGGTACTCTGAGTTCTGTTGAAGAGCATGACGGAGGCAGGGGACTAGAACCAAACAGGGAAGTCGAGCAGTGGGAAAAGCCACCGAAGCCATATTATGACGATATTATGTGCAGATTAAACATTGTGTATATCTGTTGTATCAACGCCTGACACATGGCTTAAAGGCTGGAGGGCTGGAGGGACTGGAGGGGCTGGAAGAGCTTGAGGATTTTGATCAGTTACATTTTCTTGCTGTCGCAAAATTAAAGAAAGAAAGAAGCTTGAAAAAAGCAGGCAAATGACAATCCTACGTACACATGTTAGAGTATCAGGTACGCCAAAACAGGGGTTTTCATTAAGGTTGTACTACCACTGGTGTAGATACACCGTTGCTGGCATCGTTTCCTCTTACACGCTGCACATGAAGAAAGCGCGAAAAAGTAAATATAACATAGCAATCGAATTGTGATCTTGCATAAATTTTCTATTTTGTAATCCGAAAGTTTGATAGCTCAGATCTTCGCAATGGTTACCTCAATCACCTAGGTATAGAGCTGACACTTCATGTTTGAGATTTATATGCATCATATTAATAAATAGAACGATTTCCGATGGGATCTAGGTAGGTGCATTTGTGAGATTGGATCTTGGCGATGAGAAGGGAAAAGGGGGAAGAAATGAAAATAACACTTTGTACGATGGTGCTTGAGTTCTCTACATACATAGGGAGTTACAGAGTGATAAAGGAAGATGGAAATGTTCGTCAGTGGTTCCGGTGAATTGCTATTAATCCATTGAATGGCACGTGAGTGTCACGAATCAATATGGTTCGAACCAGTCTGACAAGTGCTCTGTATCACGTGAGCGAATCACATGGCGGGTAAGTTCTAGAGGCAGCTATTACAGGTACAAGAGCCGAGTTCTCTAAAATCTAATAGGCTATTGCACATCACAGTATGTACTTCGTAGATTCTAACGGTCAACGGAACGGGTAGGTCAGCTCTTCCTTATTAAATGTGGGTTGCGTCATAGTGAGGGGTGATATCTTATATAAAGTCACCCACTGTACACTACAACAACGATGTAGATTGATTAACAACTCTAGATATTGGTAGAAATTTCTAGATGGTACTGGTTGTCTTCAAAGCCCCTTGAAACCAAGTAATGATAGATAATCAATGGGTGCCTCATACAAGAGGAAATTTAAGCTGAACTCAACTGATTCAGCCTCGATCTAATGTATTTGCGAAGTAGTATTGTCATGGTAATATCCATGCATTGATATAAGGCCAGTGATACCTACTGCTAAACAAAACACGACCAGAAATCCTTTCTTTAATGACACGTAGTCAAATAACTGTATGTACTGGTATGCTTCTTAGGAGAATCTAATCTTGTATGTTGGTAGTATTATGCCAGGTAATGTGAAAGAAGCATGTGAAGTGTCCTCAACTATCTATCTAGAGTATCCTCCACTGCCGATGTAAAGTGTCCTCGCCTCATATACACAGGGATATACATAGGGATATATATATATATAAATATTATATACATACCTACTTAAATTAACCTTATATGTGTCTTCTTGCTCTTCTTCCCTACCAGCCTAGGTAGATATTATGATTTGACCATTAGATGATTAGAAGTAGACAGATCTCCACCACGTCAATGCCTTGCCGCAGCTGATACACCTTCCAACCCATATTCATCTATTCCATCCACTCAATTGAGTTGCATAATGAATAAGGTACGAAGGTTATTTAAAGTTGTTCTTTAGAAGCTGCAAGAGTGTCCTTTTCTACAAGCTTCTTCCATTATCTGCGATAAGTAGCTCGGATTAACTATTTCCCGTACCTATCATCTAACCGAACCAATCATCAATTTCAAAAGTCCATTTGGGACAGATTTCCATTTCATCAAGAAAGCTTTAATAAAGTCGACTTCTTCCCACCTGTTGGCCTTTTCTTTTTACATTCTACATTCAAGAATAGATTTCTTTTTTACAACACACAATCTTTCCCAAAAACCATCTTGGTAAACATATCATCATGGCCAGTGGAAACAGATCTTCCCTCTTTGTAGGGTTGTCTGCACTTTTCTACCTTGTACTCTTATTCTCTCCCCTCGCTCTCTTCCAAACAGCACATGCACAGTCCGATCAGGATCCTCTGCAAGAATCTTATGGCACAGGTAAGCTTTTGCAATGCGACCCCCCCCCCTCAAAGAATATCTCTTACTGACAATTTTGCTATTTAGTTATTGGTATCGATCTCGGAACTACTTACTCTTGCGTCGGTGTGATGCAAAAGGGAAAAGTTGAGATTTTGGTAAACGATCAAGGACACAGAATTACACCCTCTTATGTCGCCTTCACCGATGAAGAAAGATTAGTCGGAGACGCAGCCAAGAACCAGGCTGCTGCCAACCCAAAGAACACTGTTTTCGATGTCAAGTAAGTTCTCAATTGCATCTGATTCACTAGTCTTCAAAACTGACAGGTGTCCTTTTCAGACGTATGATCGGTCGCAAGTTCAACGACAAGGATGTTCAAGGTGACATGAAGCACTTCCCATTCGATGTTGTCCAAAAGGATGGCAAGCCTTCCGTACAAGTTGAATACCAAGGAGCAAAGAAAACCTTCACTCCTGAGGAAGTTTCCGCCATGATTCTCGGAAAGATGAAGGAAGTCGCCGAATCTTATCTCGGAAAGACTGTTACCCACGCAGTTGTTACTGTTCCAGCCTACTTCAACGACAACCAAAGACAAGCTACTAAGGATGCTGGTATCATTGCCGGCTTGAACGTCCTCCGTATCGTTAATGAACCTACCGCCGCAGCTATTGCTTACGGTTTGGACAAGACTGGAGGTGAACGTCAAATTATCGTCTACGATCTTGGTGGAGGAACTTTTGATGTTTCCCTTCTCTCCATTGATCACGGTGTCTTCGAGGTTCTTTCTACTGCCGGTGACACTCACTTGGGAGGAGAAGATTTCGATCAAAGAGTCATCAACTACTTCGCCAAGAAGTACAACAAGGAGAACAATGTCGATATCACCAAGGATCTTAAGACCATGGGTAAACTTAAGCGTGAGGCTGAGAAGGCTAAGCGTACTTTGTCTTCCCAAAAGACCACTCGTATCGAAATTGAAGCTTTCCATAATGGTAACGACTTCTCTGAGACTCTCACCAGAGCTAAGTTCGAGGAGCTCAATATGGATCTTTTCAAGAAGACCCTCAAGCCTGTTGAACAAGTTCTCAAGGACGCTAAGGTCAAGAAGGGTGAAGTTGATGACATCGTCTTGGTCGGAGGTTCTACCCGTATTCCAAAGGTTCAAGAACTCATTGAGGAGTACTTCGGAGGTAAGAAGGCCAGCAAGGGTATTAACCCTGATGAGGCTGTTGCTTTCGGTGCCGCTGTCCAAGGTGGTGTCTTGTCCGGAGAGGAAGGTACTGAGGAGATTGTTCTCATGGACGTCAACCCATTGACCCTTGGTATTGAGACCACTGGAGGTGTCATGACCAAGCTGATCCCAAGAAACACTGTCATCCCAACCCGCAAATCTCAAATCTTCTCTACTGCCGCCGACAACCAACCAGTTGTTTTGATTCAAGTCTATGAGGGAGAACGTACCATGACCAAGGAGTAAGTTTTAAGCTCATCTACACATTTCAAAAATACATAATTCTAACGAAATTCTTAGTAACAACAACCTCGGTAAATTCGAGTTGACTGGTATCCCACCAGCTCCACGCGGTGTCCCACAAATTGAGGTTTCCTTTGAGCTTGATGCCAACGGAATCTTGAAGGTTACCGCTGGTGACAAGGGTACTGGAAAGTCCGAGTCTATCACCATCACCAACGACAAGGGACGTCTTACTCAAGAAGAAATTGACCGTATGGTCCAAGAAGCTGAGAAGTACGCCGATGAGGACAAAGCTACCAAGGAGCGCATTGAGGCCCGTAACGGTCTTGAGAACTACGCTTTCAGCTTGAAGAACCAAGTCAACGATGATGAGGGTCTTGGTGGCAAGATTGACGAGGATGACAAGGAGACCGTAAGTTATTGATCATCTCACTTGCAATTTGCTTCATGCTAATCATGCCTTTAGATTTTGGATGCTGTCAAGGAAGCCACTGAATGGCTCGAGGAGAACGCTGCCACCGCAGTCGCCGAGGATTTCGAAGAACAAAAGGAGAAACTCTCCAACGTCGCCTACCCAATCACCAGCAAATTGTACAGTGGAGCTGGTGGACCAGGTGGTGATGATGAGCCAGAGGGCCACGATGAGTTGTAGTTAGTTAAAGTCTAGGCACGTTATACTGCACTTTATTATGATTTTTTTTTCTTTGACTGGTTCGGAGGGATGGACCTGAGTTAAAGGGAAGGTACATGTAGGCGATTTAAAAGAAAGCTTTCAAGCTATGCATTGTAATCCATTGGGGGCGTCATTCATACAAAAAGAATTGATTGTTTAAGATATTTTGGTATTTTGACTTTGTGTATGTATGTTCTCATGTGTTTTGGTTTGCTGCCACCGTAATTTTGACTTGATATTTATGTTGATGTTGATGTTGATGATGTAGCAATGTGATATCGTATTGTGCCACTTGTTAGTTGGCGTCAAGTCAACCCTTCAGTAGTGTGTGTGTGTGTGTGTGTGTCCATGAAATCCGTCTATCTTTTTCTGAAACCCTAGAACCTACAAGGTCTACAAGAGAGTTTCCCAAAGTCCATCATCCCCAAAACGGAATTTCTCCACAACTAGCCGTCGGCACTCCAATCTCCTTTTCAATTTCCCGAGCAAACCCTGAACCAGCCAGCACGATATCCTCGAATCTTCTGTCAGTCCCCAATCTATAAGGCAACGCCGCTTCCCTCTCCACCAGCCCCTCATTCTCTGGATATAATTCGGTTCTGAATTTCACGTTTGCCAACTCCGCTAATTCTAATACACCACCATGTAAGTGGTCCCCCGTCCCTTCTCTCCTCCTCTCAGCCACTTTTTCCGCCACTTTTAGGACCGCCGACGCTTGCCAAAATCCTTCTTCTTTCTTGATCATTTAGAAGCTCGATCGCCTGTTCATATAAATGTTGATTGGAGCCGACATAGCTATGAAATATAATGGAGCGATCACTCCTCCATCTGCTGTGAGAAAATTATCATTATACACCGATGTTGCATGCATGATTACAGAGCGGGAAATATCGATAATAGCTTGAAAACGTTGGGTTTCGGACGCAGGTAACAGATCTGTTTCTACTCTTGAATTGGCGCGGAGATCGACGACGAGGGAGAGCGATTGGTAATGGAGTTGAAGGAGAAGACTTCCAAGGATTTCAGAAGCGGTCCACATGTGAGCGTCCGCTTGACATAAACCATCGAAAGCACGTTTCCAACTCAACATACCGATATTGAAGGAGTGGAGAAGTTTAGTTCGATGTGGAAACATGGCTTCGAAATTAGCGGGCCGCTCGTGGCGAGATGTTTTTGGAGAGACCGCTGTGAGAACGTAAAAAAATGCCGAGTTCGTAGAATTGCTGTGCGATGCTTGCGGCCTGCAGACTGGGGAATCGATCTCCGCATTCGGGCTCTTTGGAATTGCTATCGGGAACTAAGAGTGGTTTGCGAGAATCCCAGAATCAAGTCGCTTGGACATCAAACCGGGTAATTACTTCTAGAAAAGTTGTTTGGCCTTGTTTCACTGTTGGTCGAGTATCTTGTAGTGCCCATAAATTGTATACCCGTAATCCATTCTCTAGATGTTCCAGTGCTCTTTCGTGATTACCTTGTGCATTTTCCAAACAGACAAATATCATGCAACAAGCTAATGTTACTTGTATTTTGTATTAGATTTAAGAGAACGAATATGTCGAATCGATTTATTATATTGCTAAAGATACACTCGCTCGGTGGCAGCAGAGGGTCTGGAAATATGTTCATGCAACGTCGAAATGGCAATCACGGCATGAAGAACCGCAGGATAAGCTTCACTGAGTTGTAATATCATTCGACGCCAAACCTCGGAATCCTGATTAACACCCATCAATCCATACATGGTTCTATGACGAAATTGATCAAAATATCGATGTTCTTTACTACTGCGAGCAGAACCGAGTCCTGGGACAACGGTGACGCGACTCTGCGCGTGATTTTGCGAGGGCACAATAGCTTCATCTTGAGGATTGTGATATTCGCAGATTCGACCGGTACTGCTGCATTTTACGCATTTTGGTTTACCTTCGTCACATTTTATATGACGAATTCTTAAGTTTTGAGTTAGCTAACTTTTCCTTCGGATTGTGCTGGGAGGATTGCAACTGCAAAAACAGAAAGTGCGGGAAATAGAGATCAGAGGTACACATAGTGCAATTGGTAGTCGCCATGATGCGGTTCTTGAGGCCGCTCAGTAACACGGACCAATGTTGCTCATCATGATAATCAGAATGAGAAGACAAAACGTATGGTGTTGAGGAAGACAGTGGATGTAAGATACATACTTGCAAGTGAGGCATGCACCTCTAGATTTTTTGAATTTAGACCGAGACCTCTTTTCTTTTTGAGGAAGAGGTTCGGACGATGTATAATCAGCCATAAAGCATTTTATTATCAAAAGAAAGATGCACCAAAAATGGGCACCGTCGAATATTTTGCGTTGAATGTAACAAAAGGGGAGGGAAAGAAGATTTAAATATTTTGAAGGATTTTAATTGCGCCGCCTAATAAATAAAGCTAGGTAGACCTAGGTAAGGAAAATATAGCTAGCTTGGTCATTTTAACCAATCGTATCATCAAGATTTAACATCCATGCTGCTTGCCAATTTCATCCATGTCAGTTGCTGATAATCAGATATGCAACAAGACATTTCCATGCTCCTCTCACGTGAATTCTCTTTTTCAATGATGATAATTGGCTGAATCGAAAGCCTCTGATATAGCCCACTCTCACTCCATTATATATAAGCCATATTGAGTATTTACTCGATTACCGGCTTCATCTGAATTATGCAAACATCAATACACAATGCAGGGACAAACAGAGATGTACCTTCTGAGTGCTAAGGTTACCCGAATTTGTTCTCTACTCAAGAATAATGTTATCACAGTCGAGGACTATGCGCGTTCTCCTTTGCATCGTATCGACCAGAGGAATGATATTGTAAAAGCATGGGCATATCCGGGTTAGTTTTACTTTGCTTTGCTTAACACTTACTAATCCTTGACAGTACACACTGCCGGGTTAAGGTGGATGAGGAGGAGAGGACAATCTATTCACAGTCCCGATATGTTAATTTCCATCCACCTCAGATGCACAACAGATACTCAGACAAGCACGAGCGCTAGACAGAGTTCCTCCCGCACAACGGGGTCCACTCCACGGTCTCGCAATTGCGATCAAAGATTCCATTAACACCAAAGTTGGGTGGTTCAAATCCCCTTCGCCAAGCTCCTGTGTATTAACATGTATGTAGATATGCCTACAGAGTTTGCTTGCTCATTATACCAAGGGGATCAGCCCACTTTTGATTCATCCGCAGTTTCCATTCTCCGGAATGCTGGAGCTCTGATCTTTTGTTCGTGTAATTAGCTGTACATACAGTACTATAACACTATACTTCTACGATAGATAATTTCCCCTTCCAGGTAAAACCACCACACCAGAACTCACCTGGCTTAACAGCGGTTCCCAAACTACCAATCCCCGCGATGTAAATCGCACTCCAGGCGGATCATCCACAGGCTCAGCAGCAGCAGTCGCCGATGTTCAAGTCCCTCTCAGTATTGGGACCCAAACGGGTGGAAGTCTTATCTGTCCAGCATCATACACCAGTATTTTTGCCATGAAACCAACATACAATGCGATTTCTCTCGAAGGCCAAAAGACCTGCTCAATCTCTCTCGATACACCCGGTTTCTTTGCTTGCTCTGTCGAGGATCTTAATTACTTGCTGATGTCTTTTCCCTCAAAGACACACACCCTCACAAGATCATACCCTTGAAAGAAACCCGAATAGCCTTCATGGAAACTCCAATGTGGGATCAAGCCGGTCCCGGCACTATCACCGCTATGAATACCACCTTCAGCATTCTCCACAAGCACGGTATCAAAATTGACCACGTCTCTTTTCCTCCAGAATACCGCAATTCCAAAATCCTCACCCAGAACTTCACCACCATCTACGAAACCGATGCGCAATCATCCTTCGGACAAGAATACAACATAGATAAAACAAAACTCCACCCCGAAATCCGCGCTCTCGTTGAAACCACATCCCACACTCCACAAGAATACTCCCAAGCTCTCAAGTACTTCGTCCATATCCGTAAAATTCTCACTTCTTCCATCTTCTCCCAATACGACGCAATTCTCGCCCTCAGCGTCCAGATGAAGCCCCTCTCGGTCTGCACGATATGGGAAGTTCGGTATTCAATTTCTTCTGGACAGTGCGTATATCTCATCTTTCCTCCTTACAATCATCCCCCTCCCCATCCGCATCCGCATCTTATTACATCAACAAACTCTAAACCTCACACTCTCCAACCCGCAAAAATAAACCCACACGCCCGCCCTCACTATCCCCGCACTTCCCAACAATATGCCATCGGTCTCTCACTCATCGCAGCTCCATTTTGCGATCAGAATCTTTTATATCTCGCTAAATGTATTGCGGAACCGCTTATGAGTGAGGGGGGTTGGGAGATAGATGTACCTGTTTATAGAGAGAGAGAGGGTTGGGTTGATTGATTGTAATGATTATTATCATTATGCTCGAGTAAAATTTAGTAGACGAGTGAATATCTTCAAAAGATTTCAATAAGATTCTCAAACCTAAAGAATGGCTTGAATATAAGTTGATTGAATATATATAATACTTTTCAATATTACAGAATCCTATCATAACATATATGAAATTAATTTTGGTGATGTAAAATGTAGAGCTTATTTATTATTCGTGAATATAGATTAATTTTTGAATAATTATAATTCAATCTATTTATCTGTTTAGCTATTTATACAATATAAATGAAAAGAAAGAAAGAACGTGTAAATGTAAGTAATAAGTAAGTATATTCTTGAAAATGAACATTGTAAGGCAAGTAGAGATGTAGGATTACACGCGTATGTATGTATGTATGTATGTATGTATGTATGTATGTATGTATGTATGTATGTTCACTTGTGAACATCAATATCAATATCAATATCAACAGCGAAGAGGATAACGTATCTATTATCTCTTATAATCGTGTATATGCCCAAGATCTATCTACATAGAAATATAGAAACATAGAAAGCATTGATATTAATCCCCTCCTCCCTCCCACGCTATAAGGGACATATATAGTATAGCCAAAGCCAATCTAATCTTCGACCCTAAATCCATCACCCCACCCCCCACCATCCCCCCCTCACCCACCAACCTACTCCAACAACCCGGCCGCAACCGTCACGCCATCACACCTGAGAATAACCCTCCCGGGCGCCTCCAACGGCACCGGAACCTCCAACTCCACCAACACCCTCGCCACCTGGGCCGGCTTCACAATCCTCGGTTTCTTCTTGCCCATCGACTTTCCCGTCCCCTTATCCAATACCGCCACCAACTCCTTAATCCTACCCGCCGTATGCATGCGTCCCCTATGCACATCAACCTGCATTGGAGTCAAAAATTCAAAAGCCAGAACCTTGGCTGTGAAAGTTTTGATATTACTAATCGGGTGACTGGGTGTGCAGAGTACATCTCCGATTTTGAGATGCGCTTGATCGATATCCGCGAGATGGATTGTGATGATTTGGCCCGCGACGGCCCAGTCCACGGGTTCGTTATCCATTTCAAGGCCTTTGATGAAACATTTTTCGTTGCTGGGTTGTGCCAGTAGTTGATCGCCGACTTGAAGAGAGCCGGCCTCGATACGTCCGGATATACTTAGAGGATTTTGTACGCCGCCGCGGAAGATATCGCCGATGGTTAAACGAAGGGGTTTGGTCAGTGCTCTGGCTACCGGTTCAGAATGATCGAGTTCCTCGACAAGAGTTGGTCCCTTATACCAAGCCGCTGCTTGTTCTGTTGATTTTCTGGCGATGTTATCTCCATGAAGGCCAGAACACGGTATAAATTTGACGTTCTGTTCTTGAAATCCAGCTGCTGTAAGGAAAGCAGAAACTTGTTGTGAGATTTCATCAAAACGCTCCTGCGACCAACCGACGGTATCTAATTTGTTAACTGCTATAATGATTCGTTGGACACCCATGCTTCGAGCCAATAATGCGTGTTCTTTCGTCTGTCCCTTTAATCCCGATTCAAAAGATCCAACACTGGCGTCAATTACTAACACAGCGAAGTCTGCTTGACTGGCTCCAGCAATCATATTCGGAATAAAATCGCGATGACCAGGAGCATCAAGAATTGTGAATGCTGTCTTTTCAGTTTCGAACTTGTTCATCGCAATATCGATTGTTACTCCCCTGCTACGTTCTTCCGTTCCTTGGTCCAGAACCCAGGCAAGAGCGAATGAAGATTTGCCCATTGCTTCTGCTTCCTTACGATAACGGTCTACTGTTCTTTGATCTACAACTTTTAGGTCGTAAAGCAGACGACCCATCAAAGTACTTTTTCCAGCATCAACATGACCTGTCAAGGTTAGAAAGTGGAGCGAAGACTTGATAATTTTAATATACCTATAACTACAAAGTTCGCAGCATTTTTACTTTTCGCTTTCTCGAATTCTGCTAAAACATCTAAATCTTTGCTCTTAATTCTATGCGTTTCAACATCAGTTGACACCTCTACTTGTGCTGATCCCTTTGCCGGTCCCTTTTTTCCTTTACCAGCGGCTACTAGATGATTAGTTTCATTCCTTTGATGTCGCAGAAAGTACCGAACCTTTCGACTGCGCTGCTATAACAACGTCGTCTGGACTAGGTCCTGAAAAGGGGTTAGCTGGCATGGTCAGGACTTCTGAAGTATACGGCATGGTAAAATTAGTCTTCAAAGGACGTCTCGGACTTGCGCTTGCAGTTTGAAACATGGTGCTAGCGAAAGCAGATGGGCTAGCTTGGTAGACAGGAGAAGATTCTTCAACTGCGGGCTCAATCTCTGTCTTATAACCCCTGGAAGTTGGTTGCGGCTTAAGGACCTTTTCATGCGGGTTGGAATCTTTGCGTTTCCTCAATGGAAATCCTCCATGTTTCGCATCTTTGGATAAAGAGTCGCTGCTACTTGGTGTAGATTCATCATCGTGCGATTCCGTTGCGCTTCCACCCCCGGTTTGGTCTAGAGAGAGATTGGCCATAGGCTTTTCGACCTCCAAGGCCGAACTCTGCTGCTCTTGTGCCTTCTTTTTCCGTGCCGCCGCTAAAGCCTGTAACTTTGACATCTTTGGAGCACCTCCAGAGGAACCTCCCAAAAGCCCGCCTGGGAATTGTGGTGGAGGTGTGAATTTTGCAAGACGTTCAGGAGGTATTTTGAACCATGGCGTATCGGCAAAGAAGTCTTTCGCAGACGAGGTTGTAGTATGTATTGGGGAAGAATAATCTCCATTGTAAACGTCTATCAACAGTATTAGCTAGAGTTACATTGAAAATAAGGGCAATAAAAGGGTAAGACGAGGAACCCACCTCCAGTCCAAATAATGTATGTATTTGTTATGCGACAAAAAAAAAACACAAAAGAGAAAAAAACTTTGAAGCAGTAGTGAAACCAACTCACCAGAACCTTTCTTTCCAGCAGCTTTCTTAGGCACCTTAGGCGTTAAAGTACCGAGCAAGTATGTGACTGACTTTTCTATATCGTAATAATAATGCCACAAGGCTTCTTGTATTTGCTTATCCGTGAAATTGGTCGAATCGGCCGGTAAGATTTCGCGTACTTTGATTGTTCCTTCTCGCATATGCTCTTGATCCTCTTCGCTCAATTCTTATACTGCGGATTAGCCATTGTCTGCGAAGAGGCAGTCAAAACTATGCAAAAAGAATGTCATTCGTACCTTGACCAGCTTCCTCCTCATCGTAATCTTCTTCGTAAATGTCATCTGCGTCATCGTAATCGAGAGCCATTGCCTTGACAAACTTGTGGCGAGACATCTTGTAATGAATATCGAGAATTATGTGTATTCGACCTATATGATTGTAAATGTGATATGATAATCTGCGTGTCGGTGAGAAGTATGAAGCTATTGAGAAGAATTTGAGAGAAAAGTTTGTGGTGATCGAGTTTTTATGTATGAGATGGAAATTAAATTATAGTAAAGGTTTCTAATGACCGTGGGGTTCAATATCGTCATTGATGAAGCTAGTACGGGTAGCACGAGGGGCTTGATTAGTCACCCATAGAGCAAGATAGTAGTATTATGTTTCGAATCTTCCTTAGATTTTAGCTTCAAGCCGTTCGAAACCAAATCATACTGGTAGACAGGTGACAGATACTACATACCGGTATATGGATATATGTCCAAACCTTATGAGTACCAAACTAAGTGTGTCATTGATGTACCTAGGTAGGCATGGATGGCGTATATCGTTTTAAAATTCAAGATAGAACATAGAGTGGCGTACGATACACTCAACTAGATACTTACTAGCTAGGTAGATAGGGACCAAGAAAGCTCATCACCTAATAGTCATAGTAGACGAACATGTAGATCTGCTTATTAGCAATGAACTCTCTATAGTCAAAGACGATAAATCTCAGAAAGGTCAGGCATTTTACTGTAGCACTAAGGAGAATATTCACATAGTTACTTCCTTTCAACGTCATGAACACATCAAGTATCTATCCGTGAATTAGACGATATCTGTAATCACAAATTAAAGGCATTTTTCATTACACTATCAATGTAGGTATACAATTTCCTCCGGGAATATGATATCCGTAAATTCATTCGATTCCATGATATCTTTTAACTCCAGCCTCGAAATGAACTCCGCCGACTGAGATACTGAGAAATGTGTAGACGTAGCTCGTACCCCCAAAACGCCTCGCTTCTTTGAATGAACTCAAAGATCTATGAGACTTTCTTCCACTACCTTGGCCTGCGGGACATTTTGTGGAGCAGAAGGGAACGATTCTTGAGAGTATCCGTTATAACTTGATACAGGAGGCGCAGGCCACGATTGTTGAGGTGCTGGAGCCTGTTGTTGTGATTGCCAGTATGGGGGTTGCTGTTGAGCAGTAGGATACGATGGCTCTTGTGGGTTTGGTGGCTGATGGGTAAATTGTTGAGGTGATGGTGCATGCGGGTACTGAGGAGGTGACTGAACAGAATACTGTGGTTTTGATTGATCCTGTGCTGGCTGGGTTTGATGAGGAACTGGAGTTCCGTAGTAAGCCGCTGCATTAGAATCTGTAGATGTTTTATTAACTGGCTCCGACAGGGCAAAATTGGCAGGAGGTTGAGATGGAACACCTTGAGGTGTTTGAGCTTGGACGGGGGGTTGGTGTTGCTGCTGAGGTGAAAAGGGGGCCGGTGGAGCCGAGTATTGAGGAGCAATCTCATTCGTTTGCCAGTTACCAGTATGTTGGCGTTGAACTTGATGCCCTTGTTGCTGGGAATAGTTCTCATTGCGCTGGTCTAATGTAGGATAATTGATATCGGAAACAGAAGACCTTTTGCTGTATGTAGGGTGTTGTTGTTGATCGGTAGGGTAGGAATATGTGGATTGGGGCGGTGCGTAAGGTTCTCGTGGAGGATTGGCCGTATAAAAGCTTTCTGCCCCTCCACTTCCATTGGGTACATTGGAAGAAA